ATGGACTCCATATAATGTAAGTTAAATTGTGAGCTTATAGACTGAAGTTGTGCCTGAAGGTTCTCTAAAAAGAGCCATAATAGACCCGTGTGCACAGAGACACTGAGCAGAGGTGAATGCACAGAGTCTGGATAGAAGGCCCCTGACCCCGATGACCTCAGGGCCCCAGTGGACACACAGCACAGTCATTTTGGGCCCAGGAAACAGATGGGGTTGCACAGGGGTCTGTCCCTCACCTGTGATCTCGATGTGCAGAGGGGCACTGGGCTGTGACCACACATCGGGGTAGGAGCTGGAAGAACCATAGCATCTGTAGGTCCCCCCATGGGAGGGGCTCACGGGGCCCAGAGGGAAGATGGCCCTCCATCTCCCATCATAGGTCCTGGGTTCTGCTTCCATGTGTCCAGGTGGGTCAGCCCTTCCCTCCTTCAGCAGATGGAAAGGGCCCGATGTGAGGTTAGAGCTACAGGAGAGGGATATGGTCTTTCCAGAGGCCACCACAGGGCTTGGCGGGGCTGAGAGGGAGGGTGCACCATACAATCCTGAGGGAGGAGAAAGGGTCTGTGTTAAAGGGACCGTCACCCTCATGCCCCAGGTGTGTTGTGTGAGAGGTGAGGTCCCCTGAGCCCACACTTTATTCCCTCTGACTGTGACCTGGAGCCCACAGTGGGGAGGGGACCCGGTGTCTCCCTGACCTGTCACCACCAGGAGTAGAGGGTCACTCAGCTCTGAGAGTATGTCCCCAGAGCTGTAATATGCACACTCGTACAGGCCTGCGTGGGATGGGGTCGTGGCTCCAATGAGGAAACCCGCCTTGTTGCTGGAGTTCTGTGGGATCCTCGTATCCAAAGGCTCAGAGCCCCTCTCTTTATACAGAACGTAGGCACTAGCCTGCAGAGACCCCTGACACCAGATGGTCACAGAGCTCCCGTTGGTGACAATGGGGCCCGGGTCAGCCCAGATGGAGGGTTTGGGGACGTCTCCTGGAAAGGATTCAGACCAGAAATGTCATGGGCGTCCTTTTCCGGTAATGCCGTCAGGAATGAGCCAATGATGCCATTTATTGAGCACCTACTGTGTGTGAGGTATGTGCTGAGGTCTGTCACTCATCTCCTCTCACCTCACTGCAGTCATGCACCAGGGATTGCTGACCCCATCACCCATTTCACTGAGGCTCAGAGAGGTTAACCAAGTGCCCCAGGTCACCTAGCCTGGACAGGGCATGGCTGGGACTGGAACCTGGTACTGTGAGTTCCCTGTCCTGTCCTCACGCTGCCCCCCAGGGGGACACCAGCTTCGTGCTCTGGGCTCCTCCGCTGCAGGGGCCTGTCCACATCTCATCTGGAGCTGAGGGTCCTTCCTCATTACCCGCTCCCAGCACAGCAGAGACTCCCAGCACCAGAGACAAAAGGGGCAGAGTGAGGGGTGGACTCTGAGTCTCTCCCTTATCCGTCCCCACCCTGCAGACCCTGATGCCTCCTTGGGAAGGTCAGGCTGGGCTGGGGCTCTGCCTTCCTGAGCTCTGTGAGAGGCCAATGTCACCTCATCTCCCAGCAGCCTGTGAGCAGGATGGGACCAGGGATGAGCAGACAGGAACCCGACACTCAGACGAGAGAAGGGACCGCCCAGCCCCACAGCAGGAGCAGCAGAGCTAGGAGCTGAACCAGGGCTGATCCACCCTGTTCCCTCCTCTGAGCTGAGCATGAGCTGCGGGGGAGGACTGGGGGCCCGGATCCTTGTCCAGCCTGTCCCTCAC